TTGTATCATACCGTGACTTGGGAAATGCTATAAAATAGTATTTGTTACCATAGACCAATAGCAGTAAGCCTTACATCATTCAAAACCAAAACTACATTTAATTGTTAAGTTATGCAATATTGAAATAAGCCTTTCTTAATTAACTTTTAAAAAGGAATTATACTTCTAATAAAACAATGAAATCTTGAAACACCACAATATAGAATTAATACTGAGTAAAGAAGCCTGCTGGTATTAACCTATTACACTATTCAGAACCAAAATATACATATTTTGAACTACTTAAAAGAATGTTTTCATTCATCTTAGACCAACTTCATCCCTCAGGTACCTACCCAGTTTTAGCAAAGTTTGTCCAATATGTCATTACGACTGCACTCAGCATCACGTCATTTTTGGAAAAATTGCAAGGAAATAACTCTGTAGGGCCAATCATGGGAATTCCCAGTACATAGGGAACCTCATCTCCGTGGGCTGCGTCAGCCCACGCTGGAACCTGATCTGTTTGGCAATGATGGTAAAAGGCATAGAAGTACGTAGGTGAGCCAAAGTTTGAGTGAAGATCTGCTGTCGCGACAGCTGGTGCCACCCACTGATGGTCTGTAAACAAAGCCAATAATGTCTTCCTTCTGGTTTCAGGATTATGACGGTCAGCCCAGTCTGTATACATAAATTTGATAGTTTCTCTCAAAACATCTTTGCCTTCAGGATAGCCATATAAGTTATCAACAAAGTTGGAAACGGCAAAGTCAAAATCACTAGCTGATATACCATCATCACTATCTACTATATTTTCAACGAATTTTAGCCCTTCGCCTTGGTTAACTCCCAGCATGATATCATAGTTCAGAAACTCTCCTTGCTCCATTAATATCTGAGGGTCGTCTGGTATGACATCACCATCAATCACGGGTCCAAAGGCTATGTGATACCGGGCTGGCTGGATGTCTTGATCAACAAGTTCTTTATAAGGCTTCTTCTGCAGGCATTCTACTAACTCTACTGTATCTGACACATTGCAACCAACTTTTGTTGCCAACATTCTAGCATATTTTGCAGGTTGGAAACTAACAGCCCAGCTGGAAAGGGCTGTTCCACTTTGAGCTATTGCTCGTTGAAAAAGACCTATGGGAAAATCAACAAAGAGTTTTAGATAACCTTTGAATAATATGGCAAAACAATAACATCTAATCTTTAAGACATGTATATCAAAACCCAGATACAACTCAAGAAACAGGGAAGTAGAGACATTCTTGCTTAAGAGAAGATATACATTGTCATCCCCAGGGTATAGGGAATCAGAGTGATGGACCTAAGTCTTGTGCTTTGAGAGGGGCCTGCTTTAAGGATTGAAAAGATCTCAATTGTGTGGAGTCTCAAAGAAAGGAATGGAGAAGATGTAAATAACTAGTGGTAAGCAACCTCAGGTATTTTTTTCAATGAACATGTAAACACTTGAAACATCAACACCAACCAGATGGGGCCAGACCTTTCCCTATTAACTCCACATCAGGCTCTGTATTATCTTTTTTGGATATTTCCTCCAATTTGGTTGCATCTGTCTTTGTTCAAAATGGTTATGTATGTATGTTTTTAACCAGGTATTTTTGAGGAAAAGAATTGTTATGGTCTCACACAACTACGGGGCTGGGTATTTGTTAATACCCTGGGGATGGCCCTGAGGGTACACAAAACACAGTAGCACTGTAGACATACTCTTTCCAGATCTTCATGTCAAACATAGTATGCTGAATATCCATTTTTCAGAAGACATAACATTGGAAGTGTTTTCACTAGGTTATAGAAAAAACCATCAGCAGAAGGATTTAGTGGGAGATGATTCAATGTTTTCCACTGTTGCCTATGCATTTTTATATTTTATCATAAAGACGAAAAGTACACAGATCACTGCTTTTTCTTTAATTGCATCTAAAAATGGGAAATGATGGCCGTAAATACAATTTGATAAGTGCTGCATACAATTCAGATTTACAAATGCACTTTATTCATTGGGGTATTTTTAATAAAGTTCTTGTTTTAAAAATATAGTTTATTTTCTTTTAAAAATTTACATTTATTTTCAATTTTCAAATACAGCTTTGTAGTTCAGTTATTTAAACACATACTTAATCATTCACATGTATTGATGAGATAAGAACTCTTTCATATAAAGGAGCTGATGCAGTTTCTGAAGTAGAAGGAAAGTTTTAGGTTTTTCTCCAAACACACACATGTATTAAAATACCTGTATCATGTTTCTAGGTAATTTAAAAATACACAGAAAGTCAAACAATACTAATTTAAACTATTCTGGTTTCTGAACAAGTTTATGAACATATGCTTAGCTTTCTAGAGCAAAGTGTACTAGAGCAAATGATATCAATACAGATCATTAAAACATATATAAGCTATTTGTCAACATTTGCTCTGAGAATTACTACTTAAAAATTTTACACTAAAATAAAAGTTGTGATTTGTATAATATTGTTTCCCACTTCAGGATTTCAACAGCATTAACTAAATATACCAAGAAGACTTAGAGAAAAATGTATGTTATGTTGAATATATCCTAAAATATTCCATCTAGACGGTAATGGGAGAGCCCTGCATTTTATAATTACTGCGTGTGGGCTGTGTGCATGCAGCTTGTGGCTCACACGTAGTAGATGCAGGCCTGTGCACGGCTGCAGCTGTCTGCAGAGACTACAGCCTTAAAGCCGCGTCTTCATAGGAGACAGAATCAACCTGATGATTGCTGCAGCTGTCTGCAGAGACTGCAGCCTTAAAGCCGCATCTTCATAGGAGACAGAATCAACCTGATGATTTCAAGAGATCTTCTGAGCATGTCCTTGTCAGATCAGACAGCTCCATCTGGGGATGACTTAAACTAGACCCAATCAAAGTCTATGTTCCTGATCAGATATGGACAGACATACTTGAAGAGTGCATTGGAGTGCTGTATTTGCAACTGTTGTTTCTGTTTACCACAGTGTCAGTAGATGAAAAGTAATGTTGGCTTTTGAATTAATGTGTCTGTTATCTTGTGCTAGTTTAATACTGGCTAAAGTAGTTTTGGTGCCTAATTTTGTTCTACATTTAGAAAAAAATAATTAGGAAAAAAATAGGAGAAAAAGAACATTTAAGTTCAAATGTGCCTTGGAAGTTTGTAGAGGTTGCCTAATTCTGACCTCAGTAAATATTGGCATTAGAACAGTCCTTAGCGTAGAATAATATAATGTGTTTAATTAAGAAGTATATCTAAACAGAGTTTGCTATTTCAACGTAAGCCATTTCATTGCAGACCGACATTTCTATGTAATTAGAAATGTTCTCATTTGAGTCGTTTTGTCATCTTCAATCAAAACCCTATTGATATAAATGAGATGTTATAAAAATTATGTCAATGAGTTAAGTTTATAATAATATAGGATTCTCCAAATACACACACACACACACACACACACACACTTATTTAAGGACTTGCTGTTCTTTTGAATTCACATTAGTGTATCTTTAAGACCAAGAATAAATATCTTGTGTCTGGTGTTTATATCATAAAACTCATATTACAAAATAATGTGCTTCATGAATTACACTTGACAGTGTATAATTTATATATATATATATGTATATATATATATATATACACACACACACACACACACATACACACATATATATGTATATATATAAAATGACAACAAAAAAGTAGATCTATGTTGTAACATATTTTTCTCTTTTATACATAAAAAACAGAAAGCATTTACTTTGTAGATTTCTCCAACACAAATTTCTGTTCTTTTGGATATTTCAAATTAATGCAGTTAGAATGGATGATTAAACACATGGTGAAATGGAGTCCATAAAGAACAATTTGAGGGCCAGCAGGTGGTGTACTTAATGTGGTGCACTGCCACATGGCTGACCACGGTTCAAGTCCAAGACCTGGTGGCTTAAAAATCATGTCGGGTGTGCGTGCATGCATGTCCCAAATCCCAGAACAGAGCGGAGGAGAAGAGATCACAGCATGGTCATCCCTTTTGTGGGCTGATTTCTCACTTTCCCTCTCACTGTCTCTTCTATGTTTCTCTAGTGAGCACAAAAAATAAAAACCTTAAAAAATTTTGATTAGTCTTGAAAAGGCATTTTGAAAAAAAGAATGTCAAAGAAAGAAAACAGAAATTGGAAAAACAGTTTCACAAATTGAAGCTGCTTTAGTACTCCAGGCTGCTTTGCTAAACTTTGGGTGGAGGGGGGAAGGAACTACTTTTGAGGTTGAAAATAGAAAAATCTAAACCAAACATAATTTTCTTTTTAGTCAAAAGCTCTGCTAGCGACCTTAATGCCTTGACAATTTTGGATCATGCATGCAAATAATCAAACGTCCATTCTCTACTCAGACAACAAATGAAAATCACATGTTTCCAGACAAACTAGCTTATGACTGCTTTGCTAGCGTTAGACTAATAAAAGATTTAAATGTCTATTGTCTTGGAAATAGATTATATGTAATCCCTGCATTTAAAACTTCCTGACTTTTGTTTTGATTTCTGAATAAACAAATATAACAGAACTGTGAATGTCTTTGTCTGATTTTCCTTAAAATCACCCTTGAATGACAGAAAAGTAACCATAAGTCTTAACTATTGTGAAGTATGCATCCCTACAGAGCTCCACAGGAGACAAGGAAAAGAGTCTGACAAAAATTTAAACATGCATAGAAAATCTGAAGAAACACAGTTAAACAGCTATTCAGGTCAACCTAACACTAAATTGGAACAGAGAAATAGATACACAGGATCACATAGTACTGATGGCGGCGGCATGCAGACACCAAAATTGTCAAAATTTGCAACCTGCATAATACCTTTGGTTGAATTGCTCCAACGGTTACCTTCAGAATAATGGGATAAAGTCAGCAGGTTGACACATGAACCCCCAGCGCCAGATCCAAAAACAGTAATTCTTAAGGGGTCACCACCGAAGAATCCAATGTTCTCACTAGTCCATCTTAGAGCCTGTATGAGATCAAGGAGTCCATAGTTTCCCTTTGCAGCCTGATCCCCTGTACTCAAGAAACCTGGAAAACAGAAATGAAGGATACCTTAAACATCCTTTCAGGTTGACAAGAATGAAATAATCAGATTTAAATACAAATGAAGCCTGTGTTAATTAAGGTGGGTACTGTCCAAGTTCCACAGTAAAAATGATTTTCCTCCAGAAATAAATGATTGCCTTTATGAAGAGTAGTAGTGATTGAAATCTGGAAAATGATGTTTATCTTCCCCAAAGAGTTCCAAAATTATACTGGTAACTAATAGGGGGCATGGATAAAGGAAAGGAAACGTTCTGAAAGACCTTAAGAAAAATATTCTAAGGGCCAAGTAACTTGGTGGTTATATTGTTCTACACAAAATGCATGTTATCATACCTGTCATGAGACTATCCAAATATATCCACCTACTAATCGACCTAAATTGATTAACTATGCTCAATGATATAATTTCCAATCTCATCAAGTTTATGAAACTAAGTTTTAAAAAAGTACTATTTGCTCTCCTGTATATGTTCCCTTTTTTCCATAATATAAAACTTAAATGTAAACATTTGCTTTATTGTTATAACACTTTACATTCTACTAAAGTTCTTGTTTTTTTTCTAAATTTCCTCTGATGTATTATGGAACTGTAGTTTCAGTCTGTGTAAAAAAAAATGTGAGCTCATATAAACTAAAATTATGTTAAAAAGTAGTGCTCTCTCTTATTGCAGACCACCTAAAGACTTAAAGGGTCAAATTTGTGATACAAATTATTTTATTTCACATATAATTCTTTATTTTATAAATAGGAAATTCAATTGCATTTGTGAAAACTAGGCTATGATAACAGTATGTGTCTAAACATATAATCAAAATATATGGACAAGAATTTCTTTGGGATCAATGTAAGAAGCAATAGATAAGGAAAGATCTTGAACCATTTTGAAAAATGTGATGAAGCAAAAGTGGTTAGTTCTTTTCTTTGTATAATACCAAAGACTCTAAGAAACAAATTCAGACTCTAGTTCACTGTGTGTGTGTGTGTGTGTGTGTGTGTGTGTGTGTAAAACTCTAGAGATATTAATTATTCATGAGATTGAGATTAAGGTTTAAAAAATATATTTCAAATGACACGTCTTTTGATCTCATCTATTGCCTTTTAATTGGTTTTGTGTAATTTTTAAAATTTCAAATATATAATATTCATATAAATTAGAGCATAATAAAGTACTAAACAAAAGCATGTCAAAGAACTCTTTTAATTTATTTTTTAATATTGCTTGAACTTTGGGATAAGAACCATTAGTTTAAATTCCTGAAGGATTTGGTTTCAAATGCTTTGATCTATAAAGACAGACCAATAGTATTAACCCTGAAAACATTATGGAAAGATTATTGTACATCATATGGAAAGGACTCTTGAAGGATAAAGGAGTTGCGTGTGTATGTGTGAGTGTGTGAGAGTGCAAATGAAAAAACATGAACAGAATATCCTAGAAATTTTTTACCTATAATTCTACATCACAAATATACCCACATGAAAATTTGATTTTTGAATATAGCTTATGCCACCCAATGCGAAATCTAGGATTTTATTTCATTCCTCTTAAAATAATACTGAATAACTCCAATTGCATTCAAATGAACCTTTATATCCATGAAAAATTGATTTATTAATAAACTAATTATCATTCAACATGTAGTATGCCAAGAACCATAATAATAAAACAATTATGTCTACAGTAACTCAATAGTATCCACTCTACAATTCCATTTGTTCATGTTCTGTCATTATTTCTCTCTATTTCTCTGTCTCTCTCTCTCTCACACACACACATACACACACACACACATACACACACACACACATACACACACACACACATACACACACACACACATACACACACACACACATACACACACACACACATACACACACACACACATACACACACACACACATACACACACACACACATACACACACACACACATACACACACACACACATACACACACACACACATACACACACACACACATACACACACACACACATACACACACATACGCACACACAAGTACACCTCCTTATCCTTCAAGATTCCTTTCCATCTAATGTATAATACAATGATCTTTCTATTACGTTGTTTTTGGGGTTAATGCCACTGGTCTGTCTTTATAGATCAAAATATCTGTAAAGAAATTCTTCAGGAATGAATGATTCTCATACCAAAGTCCATGTAATAGCAAAGTTAAAAGATTTTCCTATTTTGACTATTCTGGTCTATTGGTGAAAAAATCTTGTGTTTATATAACAGTACTATAAAAATGTATCAAGGCTTTGAAGAGCAACTTCTACCTTCCATGTAGTTGAAAGAAATCTTGTTACATCTTCAAGATGAAATTCTAATCAATTCAGTTCCAAAATTGCACTATCAAACCATAGTATGGAAGATGGAGCAAACCATCAGGTACTTTTGTAGCCTAGGCTCAGAATGTCCAAGATTATTCTGTCAAGCTCCAATTTTTACTCTCCAGAATAGAATTTCCCTCACTACTTGATTCTATTTCCGTGTCTGCTATAGTTCACCTATGAGTCAGTCTGTCTGTCTATATATCCAACATCCATACATAGCATCCACCTGAAACCAACTGATTATTAGAGTGAATTTAGAAAGCCTCTTGAGTTTTATATTAGGAAAAAATGATCGTTGCTATCTTAAAGTCCAGCCAACTAATTCAGACACGTCTTCAGACCTGGTAGGGTAGTAAGTGCTCGATTTCTGATAGCCTATGTAGTCAATACCCTGGGACTCAGCTAAGGCACGGAATGAGGGGTTAAATGACTCAGTGCTCTGAAATAGGTACAGTGTGCTAATTGTTCAAGTGATGTGCACTGGCAGAATTCTTTATACCGTGCTATCCGGTGAAGCATTTACTTTACTACTTTTTAAACTGGCTTAGTGCTGTGTCTAACAGTTGGGTCATTACAGACCACTCACTCTCACTAGAACTTGCCATTGAACTTCTCATCCACGGTCTGGCCAATTTTTCGGAGGCCTAAAAGTGATACTTATTGCACAATGACTTCAAAGACGTTTTTCCTCTTAATGTTACTTAGATCATTAATAATTAGGCACAAATTTTGTTTTGTTTTTTAATTTTCCATAGGGTGTGTGCACTCACTGGGGAGAGAGAGAAAGAGAGAGAGAGAGAAAGATTGAGAGAGAGAAAAGAGAGGAGAGAAAGTGACGAAGTTCTTGTCCTGCCAGGAGAATCATCATGCCACAATCCCTCCTTTTCCATTCTCCTTTTGGCCATACATGTGCCTGGCATGTTTTTCAAACTGTGAGGTCTGGGACTTGAACAGCACAGTCAACTATGTGCAATCCAGCTGCCTTAACCACCATGCCAATGGAAACCCACTTATTTAGTTTTTCATGGCCTGGGTTATAAGCTTCTACAACATATGAGTAATTGCCTTCCTAATATAGCAACATGTTATTTTTATAAAATAGAACAATAATGACTATGAAAACAAACTTTTCATTTACCAGGGAGAATTAGAATAATTTTCCAGAAAAAAAAATGACTAATTTACTTGAATCATGAACAAAAAACTTTAAAAAAAAAACAAACAATACTTTTAAATTTAAGAAAATCTTAAAACTCATAATTATAAGTATGATGAGACTTCTTTCATAGTCTCAGGTATCCCCAATTTTTATTCAATTATTCATTCAAATACAATTTGTGTAATATCAGTCTTTCCACCTAAAATCTCATTTTTTCCAAAAAATGCCCTCTATTGATCCTATATGGAACTACTGGTCTACTTAGCAGGCTGAGTATTAATCGGCTGTTTACATGACCTGGCTACTGGAGTCAGTTTCAGGTGTTAGAGAGAGGCCATGCAATTAAACATGAATCCATAGGCCCTTGGAAGGAAAAAATCAGAGCAAGCCTGTAAGAAGTTAGTTAAGGGGGAAATAAATAAAAACAGATAATTACTGTGATCAAGGTATTGGCTTGGGCCACTACTGCACATGGAATTTGGATACCTCTCTAATTAAGAGATCCTAAGGAGTATGAGAGGAGATATTTTAAGATGTCAGGCAGCATCTTTGCAGCTTATTGGCTGGTCCAATCTATGTTCAATTCTCTTACAATAAAACTAAATAAACTATGGCTTTAGAATGAAAATTTTAAAAATACAGTGCTTCTTTTTAAAAAAACAAAACAAATTATTTAAAAAGAAATCCGGACTAGGAAAAGTACAGAATGTTTACTTCTGAGATGACATCTAACATTTAGAATTTTAAGATGTCAAGGTTTCTGTACTTCTTTCTCTTTGTCTTTGAATGAGGTATGGGTAGCCATATTTGAATGTTGTGTTTATAGTGGTTCATTTCTGGAGACATAAAATCTAATAATTTTGGAGTCCACATTACATGACTTAAAAGTATAAAGCGGTAGGAAAGAAATTTTCATTGTTTATCAATGCTGTTGCCTGGATACAGGTGACTGTGGTTGATTCTTCGAGTCAAATTGCTAAGTAATTCAAAAATAGAGTGCATTCTGAACATTAAAGAAGCAGTTTTGCAGACATGAGACACTGAATGATTGTGAGACATCCTTCTAGGGACTTGGGAATGTGAATAAGAAAAAGAGCTCATTAAGGATTTTCATCTTAACCACAAAACGACTTAAAACTAAGATTACAACCTCAAATCTTTCTAGCTAAAAATCCAACTGGAACTCCTCCATGCTATCCTGTCCTATCTTCTCAGTTGCAAAGTTTGGTCATTTCTTTCTCTGCATTCCATCTCTTTCCTGCTTTAAATCTCATGATGTTGACTATTCTGGGTTATCCTCTTTTCTTTTCAGACCCACCAAATCCTATTTACTCACTTAACATACACTCTTCCAGCATACAAGTCTACTTTCTATTCTGCCACCAGACTCACTTTTGAAAATATTTTGATCTCATAGAGAAAAACTGCAATATGATAATAAAATCATGTTAAAACAATTAG